TGAACACTAGGACTTCTTTGAGCAGTCTTGAATGAATGGGATCTATTAGACACGTTGATCGTTTGGAGGAAGTGATTGTTGATGTTAGAAGTTTCAGTCTGAGAGAATGAAAAATTTAGTATCTGGTTTTGGGGGGTTTTCCACCTTTTTTCAAGCCCAGACTACTTGGATTATCTATCCACAGATAAAAAAACAAACACATTAAGATGAACTATTTTCTGCTCCAGCAAGTCATCTCCCTCCAAGTGGCAGATGACTTGCTTTATCTTCTGAGTTACAGCCACCCCATTAAATTAATTAATTAAAATAAATCCCTGAAAGTGGCGATGTTTCTCCCAGGGCTTGAGTTCAACGACATCTATGTGTCTCATATGGAGAATTGCTCAGCGGGATTTATAGTCCTGCAAATGTGTCCATCTGGGTACACGTCAGAAAGAGAGGGGGCGAGGGGTTTTCACCCACGTTTTCACCACGACATGCAGTCCTCCACAATCCTGACTGCAGTATGCTGGAAGTAGATAACATAAGAAACTGCTGTACATAATTATATATCTGTGAGATGATTATGAATATTTTTCTCTAACTGTTACATTTTTATTTGTGGAGAAATTCATGACATCATTACTAGTTATGGTTAAAGTGATACAGAATCCACACGCATGAGGATATAAAAGAATATTAAAAGAACAATCTACTTCTCTGGGAGTAGAGTTTAGGTAGCTGCTCTATACTGTTTTGGCACATAGTATTGAAGCAAGTAGAAGTAGAAGAATTATATCCTTAAATTTAGTTACAACACTTTCTGAAAGACATTTCTTATAATGAAATGTGTTCCCCACTGCTGTGTAATCCATTACTGTAAAGTTAAATGTTATTAAGAAATGATCACATAAATAAGGGTTTTTGGGGAACACTATTTATGGCAGCAATGATTTGACAGTAGAGAAAGATGGAAGAATAGTTTTCTGAATATCGTTTATCACAACTCTGTAACTTTAATCTCTGTTTTACCAGGTTTTTAAAAAATAAAATAAAATCTAAAGAATGTCACAAAATATCACGTCTAGTGTAGTTAGAAAAGTATATTTTAACTTTTGCATTCAGTTGCTGGGTGTAGTTAGGTGCTGCAGTTGTCTGCATTGCCTTTTGCCAACATTATGAGCAGTTCTTTATAATAATCATCAATAATTAAGGTTGTGTGAAAATTATGTAAGGTCTGTTTAATGCTAGGCATAAACATAGATATGATTATGGTAACCAACCATTGGGATAATAGCATTACTTCTTAAATAGCATTACTTCAAGTCTAGGTTTAGTTATAGCCTTTCCTCACCCATCAGTTTATCTCACCTTAGACAGCATTTTAATTTAATTTTCAAAGTCAAGTCATAATTTATATGGCCACAAAAGGTCAATATCATGAAAACAGAGACAAAACTTCTTCAAGAAACTGCTATGTTAAGTGTGTCCTTAATGTCTTTGTCTGTTTTTATTATGACATTTCAAGGGCAAGCATGTTTAATATATATCGAAAATAGTCAGATAATGAAGACCTCAAGAACTCAATACATGTTTATATGAAATATAAGCAGTATACAAAACGGAAGGGACTATGTTGGACATAATTTACACCTCGAATGAAATTAGCACAGGCAATAATCTGTTCTGTTAAAAAGCAACTTACTTACATTTAATAGAAAATGAAGTTATACCAGAGGTAACGTTAAGCGCGATCATTTTCACATTTCCATCAGTGAAGGATGCGTTTTATTTTGCTGTTACTCGTTCATTTGACTGTAACACCATGAGAATATAATGAAAATTAACATGTGCTTAAGGTGAAAATGATACGAGTTCATAAGAAGAAATGGAAGCAGATGCCTTTATATCTTCAACAACCCTGTGTTTATCACAGTTTGGGCATTTTTCATATCGTATAAGAAGATTTTAAGCTAACCAGCTAGCTTCTAACCAGCAGCACAAACATCAGCTCTCTTGTGAAAAAAATAGCATACCAGAGTTCTTAAAAGCATACACTATACATAACAAGAATCACAATAATACTGCAATTAATATCGCTAATAGTATTCTTATTAGTATTATTATTAAACACTAAATGCAGCAGTCACAAAGCTTCAGACTGAAAATTTCATCAAAGGAAAAACTTAAAGTGACATGCAAACTTTCTTCACTCCATCCTCTTCCATCGTCTTTGTTGCCATCCTTTAGTGCAGTATATTTATTAAAACAAAAAGTTTTTCTTCACAGTTTCTTTTTTTTGTCCAGTTCACAGCAGTGAGAACTCCTACTGGCTCAGGTTTCAGTATCAGCAGCTGCCATTGACTGAGCATAAAGAACTCTGATTGGGTCTCAGTCTGTTTGGCACATCATCCAATTGACTTCAGAACTCTTATGAGAATACTATGCAGGTGCACATGCAAATGTGAAAATATATGTCAATGTATAAGCAAGGCGTGTTTGTGTTTATGCTGCAGTTGTGATGTGCTGACCTAGAAAGAGGGATGGGAACATATACTTCTCATATATTCTAAATATTTACAGAACCATATAATTAAAGGGAGCAAATTTAGTCCACCTCAGTTTGTGAAAACAGTATCTGGGGCTCTAAATAAAAGCTTTCATCCACTCGTCCGTTTTCTTCCGCTTTTCCAGTTCGGGGGGGAGCCTATCCCAACTGCCATAGGGTGAGAGCAAGATGTAGTTTACACACACACTTTTTGTTTAGATCTTTGAATGCAAACGCTCTTATTCTATTTTGAATAAATTATTTTCTTGTCTGATAGTCTTTTTTTTTTTAAAGAAAATAGAGCGTGTCTTTAAAATTAAATGCAATTTTTAAATTCTAGATCTAGATAATAGACCGTTTACTACACTACAGCAGCCAACAGAAAGTGATTGTTTATAATATGGCACTGATATGAGTAACATTAGCCTATTTTGCTGCCAGTGGGTTGCACTTTATTGTGCCTTTCAATTTTTATGTATCAGCAAGTTCAAATTGTGAATATACAGTCATAGATGCCATGCAAAACCCAATTACCAAGGAAGATCTATGAAAAAAAAGAGTGGTTTCTACAAGAATAGAAGAATAAAAACTGGTTTTTAACTGGTTTCAGATCAGTTTTTTAAAAATTATTATATTACAAACAAAGCATACTGACATGTGTAGGGTGTTACCAATTAATTAATTGTTGAATGCCTTATGAATGTGTGTTTCTGTTTTTAGAGCTTATTAAGGAATTGTAAATATTTTCACTTTGTGGAAGTGCAACAAAAAATGATTAAAGTACCCCTTCAGTGTCTTCATGACAAATGACTGCCAATAGCTGCCAAACAGCTACACAATTTATGCGACTTGTCTGTGTATTTTTTAGTCCCTGTTAGTGTCCATATTCAGTAAGGATACCAGTACATTAAATAACTGCACAAACTTAAAGTTGCTATTTTCTGTGTATTTATTTATAGATAAAACCAATAATATTTAGATAAGCACTAAAACGAACCTGGGGCTGATGCTTCACAGAACTTTGCTCTAAAACTCAATCTGACCTGCAGTTTTTGATCGTTTTAATTCACCTTCACTTAGCTGATTTTAATTCAAGCCTATGTTTGTGTGTGTTTTCCCTTTATTTGACCCAGCTCCGAGTGTATACCACCTATCTCAGTCTTTAACTGGCTGGGACACCTTGCATTGCAGTTTGCTTCTGCTAACATACATTTTTCTTTCTTATCACCAACGAGTAAAACTTCCCTTACTAACCACACCGTGTGATTTGTCCATAACCAGGGTTGAATCTCCATCTAGTTTTCCTAACTCTATTTTGTGTATATAATAATGGTTAAATCTGGCTATGGCTAAATCTATGATCCTGTAGTTAACAGTCCAGCATGAAAAACAAGGAATGTAAAAACTGCCAATGTGCTGTTTACACAAGGTGTTAAAATATATTTAACGGATTCAACATGATTTATTATGTCTATTTTATAATTTCATATGCTGATCATTAAACATTTAGAGCTGTGTGTCACACAGTCAAACATAAATCACTGTTAAGCTATTGCCCAATGAACAAGAGGAAAGTGTAAACATATTTACAGTAATTCTGCAAAGACTATAAAATATTCATGTTACCAAGAATCCAATTAAAATTTTTAATTGGATTAAACACTAAATATTTGGGGAATTTTGTTTAATTATTTAACATATCTTGGAGTGGACAACATTTCATGAAATGCATTATAAACATTAGTAATTGCTTCATTTTAATCGTAATACTGATGAGTGGTCAGTTTGAGCCAGGGATATTCACTTTCTCAGATTGCATTTGTTGATGCTTTCGGTATCACACCTTGCTCAGGTACTTTTTAACCCATTTCAGCCCATCCCTGCATAAAATTTGTATGTTTTTGTAGTGTTGTGTTGTAGAAGTGTTTATACTGTGTACCTGTGGTTGCCAGTCCATGCATCCCTTAATCTGGTAAAAGTTTCCACTCATTAGGGATTTTCAGGGAAAAATAAGGAGAAAAAATAGGAACAATAGCAATATCATTATCTGCTACCACAATTACTAATATTTTATGGATGTGATATTTCATTTCATCAGTCTGCTTTTATAACTCCTGATCACATTCCTGATTAATATTGTTATTGCGTTAGCATCATTGTTTCTTGTTGTCTGTACAAGAGGGGGGGAAATCCATTAAATAATGATGTGTGTTTGATTAGAAAACTGTCCACTGTGCTTGATTGCTTTTCATGAATTTGTATATGAACAGCCATTCTTCTCACTGATGGTCAAGTGACTCTCTTCATTGATGGGCAGGTCATTGCTGAAGCCTGACAGCCAAGTGGTGGGTAGACATCTGTCCAGTCTTTCTAGCTGTAAGGCACTGGCTTGGATGTAGTCAGGAGAGATCAGTCATGCTGAGACTCATGGGTAATCCAGGACGGAGGTAAGCCACTGGAACACGACCATTCTCGCTGGTCGATCCTGTGATAGACAGACGGGCTTTGGAGCGCATTGCATCCGTGAATTTCATCTGTATAAGGACAAAAACACATTAGCCACATTTTCATCAACGACACGTAACTTAAAGCTGCATAGACAGGGTTAGAATCACCAGTTAACCAGAGTACTGAGAGGAATCCGCCACTGTACTTCATAGGCACTGGACTACTTGAATCTTTTTTTTGTTGCACTCACCAAACCCTTTAAGTTCCCCACTTACATACCTAATTTCATTTTTCAATCCTTTATTCACAGGTAATACTGTACAGCTGCTAACATAGCCTTTTTTAAGAGAACGTGCTTTCTCCTGGAAACCCTTTTAAGCCTCCTATTTCTTTAAACTTTAATATTTAACATACTAACTGAGGAATGTAGAATTGTGCTATCGCTGGTACTACCTGCTGGACATTGTTGATCAAGGGTCCAATACTAGCTGATATGACTGATTACAACAACCTTGTGAACAGCCTATTACACTTTCTTATATAACAACTATTGTTGGGGTACCAGGGTGTGCTATTGGCTGTATTGGCTTTAGAGTTGTGGCAGCCGGACTGTCACTGAACCAGTGACTTTGTCCTAGAGCCCCCCAGGGGGTCCAGACCTGGATGTAGCATTAGGAGGGAGCTGCTGAAGTTAAGGAAAGACTGTTGGACAGCTGTGCATTCAGCTGTTGCGAAACAAGAAGGAGCTGGGCTTTGAAACAGCTGCTGGACTAGACGTGGACAGAGCATAGATTGTGTGGTAATGCCTTGCTTTTTGACTGTTTTATTGAGATTTTAGAATATCCCCTCATCTGCTTTTTTGTCTTTTTTACGGTAATATTTAACAATTGTTATCACTCTTGTTCCTATTACTATTTCAGGTACAGAGGTACTTCCAATTTATACTTGTGTTTTTATTTGTGGGGAAAAATTTCTTTGCCCCAATGTCTGTCTTTGGGCTCCTATAGGCTCTTTCAAACCTAGGAAGCATTGTTTTTCAGCATAATCTGCTACTTAGCTTGACCTTACCTTTAACATTTGCCCGCTTGGCTGGTACACATATGAACAAATCTGTGTGTAACTCGTGTGTCTGAATGTTTTTTACACAAGTACAGAAGTCCTTCAGACCATGTATGTGAACAAATGATAACCTGGTTGTCTTTTAGAGTTTAATCACAAGGCTGAAATGAGTGCTTCTGCTACAACTGCTAATTGTTATTATTGATTTCCCAAAACATTGTATGCCACAAAACCCTCAGAATTACAATAACAATTATTACGGCTTCAACATTTTAATAAGCACTTTGAGCGCTTATATAGATACAGCAGAAAAGCATTACACGAGAACCAGTCCATTTACTTGAGGCAGAGTGTCTCAGGGGAAACAATATTCAGCAACCTGTTGTTTGAGCTGGAGCCTCACTTTTTGGTTTGTTTATTTATTTTTAAGTGGTCATTACTCCTGTGGACACACTATTTTAAGTTTCTTTCACTTCGTTTTTGCTTTAAACAGCTTCTTTCTTACATATTTACCACTCTCTCCACTTCACCTCCAGGTAACCTTATTTCCTTGTGTAGCAAAATAGGGGTGTGCTGCATGCAGCCCACTGACTGCTAATATGAGTCTAACTTAGCCTGATGCACAGCTGGACTGGCCACCCAGTGGGCTGATTTTTTGTTTTTACATTCACATGTGGTCTCTTTTCTTCATGATAGAGGTTTAACCTGCATTTTTGCAATGTACTGTGAACTGTATTCACTAATAGTGATTTCTGTAAATGTCTGTCAGTCTGAGGATGATGATCATCCAATATTGATTTCAGGTTCTTGTGCACAGAGGCTTCTCAATATTTTTTTGAAACTTTTAACTAAATTTACTGTAAATAATGAGATATTTAAGCTCTTTGCAATTTTACACTGAAGAACATTATTCTAAAATTGTCATACAATTTTACAAGTTTTTGTTTTTGATTTGTATTTTTGCAAACCTCTGATATCTTTCTTTCTGAGAAACTCTGCCTCTCTAAGATACTATTTATACGCAATCATGTGACCTGTTCATTAACGTACATTAGCTGCAAAATGTTCCTCCTACTTTAAATACTTGATGTGTTTTCAGTGAGTGATTGAATAAAGTTGAGGTTTAATAATAACTGCATTCTGTTTTTATTTATATTTCATATAGTGTTCCAGCTTTTCTTTGACACTGGGGTTGATAAGTGCTGTATAACACTCAATACAGCACTTGATATAAGATTTTCAAAAGACTGCATGAAATGATATGAAATGTTTTGCTTTTCTTAATATTATATATTGTATATACTGTATATAATTCCATTGATACATTGTATTAATGGATAGTGGCTGTAGGCCAGTAAGTCAACTACTAATTATCTTCTATGGTTGGTGGTTTGATCCCTGGCTGCTCTTAAGTCTTCTTGCACAAGACACTAAACCTTAAGTTGCTCTCCAATGAATATATGAATGGCTAAATGAGGCATGTTGTATAAAGCACTTTGATTGCTCAAGCAGAGTAGAAAATCACTATATAAGAACAAGTCCACTTACCATTAGGAAAGAAGCTATGTCAAACTTTAAGTATACTATAAAGAAAATAATTAGTGGCAGCAACTAACCCAGCCACCAGGGCACGTGTATGTGACGAGGTGAGGCCAAACCAGTGTCCTCCTAGTGTTGGTCCCAAACCCAGATAAATGAGGAGGGTTGCAGCAGGAAGGGTCTGCAATGTAAAATCTTTGCTAAATCAAACATATGGATCATCAAGAACGAGATTTCCATACAGGAACAGTCAGAGCCTGGCTTAACAGCGACTCCCTTCTGTGCTATCCGGTCTTTAAGTCTGACATAGCCGTTTCCGGGTCCAAACTCCACTTCAGGTCCCAAAGTCAAACTAACACTGCGGCATCACTTAAAGTTGCAAACTGTCTAAATTCTTTCATCTTTAATCAGTGATCAGTTGTACCAGGTGTAACAATTAAGTTTAACATCCAGGAAAACAGAATTTATGAAATTTAATCGAGTTAGAAGTTAGCAGGAAGTTAGCTCGCTAGCTTCCACCTAAACATGATATAGCATGTTCTGACTGAGGGATTTTGGAAAAAATTAAAACGTACAGCTCTGTTATCACTTCCAACATAAATGAAGACAGAAAACTAAACAGCAGTGACGTTTGTAGGGTTACTGAAGTTGGGCTAGTTGGTATATAATGATGTGCTACCTGATCGCTAGTGACACAGCTGTGTTAGCTTAACATAAACGCTGTGAAGCTGGAGGATGAACGCTAACTTTTTCCCCCTCGATAAAAGTTAACGTGAGAGTTCCTGATGGTTAGGGACAAATGCAATCCCATGGCAGGATGCTGTAAACAGACCAAACTTCAGTCAGAACAACTGAGATAATCCATATACTGCTGCATGGGCTAGGCTGTAGTTGCATCGTAAGGGTTTAAAAACTGAGCTTTAAAATGATGGTAACAGTAATAATAAAAACTGAGAGAAGCCGACAGTGATCACTGACTTTTATAGGGGCTTGTTCAGATTAAATAGAACCGATACAAAGCATTAAAACATGTTAAAAACACAATAGCCTTAATAAATGCAGAAAGGTTTGGACCTGGAAGCAGGGTTCATACGTGATCACTTAAAGACCAGACTGGCCAACAGGGTGTATCATGCAGGCTGAAATTTCACGACTCCACTTCAGCCAGAAGTTAACTGAGAGGCTCAACATCCGGTCTTATATGTGATTTAAGCACTCTGTTATTTGTGTTTTTTGCCAATAGTATCCTTTTTCTTTATTCTTAATCAAAAAAATTAATTAAAATATGAGTTTGAACAGTATGTTAACAGAGAAATGTAGTCTGAGGATGTCTGTTCTAACATCTACACATTTTGTGTGTGTAGACATGATCCACTATAATTTTTAACAAGAAAAATAATGTTAAATGTTGTAATTAATTATGCTCACTACTGATCAGAATATAATCAGTTAAATATATATTGTTTACGTTTAGCCAAAAGGATGAGAGTAAGGCAATATAATAATGATTCTAAAGACAGGCCTAATTCAGGTCGAACTGAGAGGCTGGGTAGGTAAGGCCTTGAGAAACATGAGGGTGTGTGTGTGAGGGAATGAAGCAAGAGCCACTCTGATCGTTGAATTTCTGACTTTAAAAATACACAACTGAAGGGTGATGGCGTAGATCAGTGGGTGAGCAGGGCACTATACACCATATGGCTAGAAAGCAGTAGGCCTGGGTTTTAGTCTGACCCGCAGCCCTTTGCTGCATGTCTTCCCTTTCCTCTCTCCCTACTTTCCTGTCTGTCTACAATGTCTCTATCAAATAAAGGCTAAAAGCCCCCCACCCAAAAGAATCTATAAAATATATTCAATTTGGTGAAAAAAAAGTCTTGAATAAATAGTGATTGAGAGATGTCTGTGAAGGTTCTCAGTCATCCAGGTCATCATAGTCAAAGGAGCTTGCAAAGAAAAGTGTCCCAGATTTAAACCCAGTGGGAGTATCCCCCCAAAGAGGGACAAAAGGCCCATTTCCTGGGCCATCTGACCTCAGGAAATCACATGATAAAGTGGGACAAGGTTTCACAATGAGCTCACCCGAAGCCCTGGCTGATTGGGACCCACACCCGTTTTCACACCTTGGCTCATGTCATTAGAGGATCATCAGGGGGTCCTTTTGTCCCTCTTTGGGGGTATACTCCCACTGGGTTTAAATCTGGGACTCTCAACCATTTGACCTTAGAACTAGAGATGGACCGATCCGAGATTACGTATCGGCATCGGTCCGATACTGACCTAAATTACTGGATCGGATATCGAAGAAAAATAAAAAATGTAATCCGATCCATTAAATATCACGAAAGCACCTCACAAAACTTGCAACACGCCGTAACTCTCCTCAGAACGTTAGCACGTCGGAGCAGTATGCATCACGTGATAGAGCTGTCGGTGGTCTGGATAGCATGTGGAGCTTCGCTAGCAACCCGGCATTTCATCTCCGACAAAGTTA